TAGAATATGAAAACATTGGTGAATGCCACAAATTCTCCTAAATCATTCGTACGCACAACTTAAGAACAAATCTGTGCGTACGAACGGTTCTTGCATGAGGCCCAATATATAGCAAAAAAGTTCCAAATGGTTGTTTGTTTCTTGCTATTCCATGTTTTTTTTTGTTTTGTTTTGTTTAAATAATCAAGTTTGCTGCTTTATTTTCTCATTTTACTATATAATTAGAATACACAAACATTATTTACTTAGTAAGTCAAATTATAAGCACCAAGTAGGGCAGAAAGATCCATGCAACTACATGAACGGATTGCAAATAAAATGGGGAAAAAAATGTTTTTAAGTTCTTCAGAAAATGAATGAAAAGTTTATTCACATCCTAACAAATCCACAGTATAAGAGTAAGAAGTACTCACAAACTTCCTCTTCAGTTTCCCCTTGTTGCCCCGAGCTGGCTTGCCCTCGGCTGTTTTCCCTGAGCCGTAGTCTACGCTCATGTCCAGGTGGTCGTCCGCCGACATGCTCTTCCGGAGGTAGGCGGCTCGCGCCCTGAAGTGGGAGAAGGGCGACTGGGAGCGAGGACGATGCTCCGTGCTCTGGTTGGTCTCGTCGTCACTCTCCATGTCATCCTCCAAACGCCAAAGTTCTCCTAGAAGAAGAGAGAAGAGAACAATGGGAAGTCCAAAAAAAAGGAAAAGACGGGTAAATAATATACGACAGCAAGACAGATTGAACAACACAATTATTGGAAACTGTCATCTAATGACTGCTTCCATAAAATATATTCAGAATGTAATCTAGCTTCCTGTAAAGCTCAATTACTTTTACAACCACATTATGCTCTGCCGGCCTCCTTAACGATTTGATTAAGGCTTGTTGTCAGACCAAAATGATGGCTCTTCGCGGTTCAACAAAAGCCAAAAGAACCAACCTGCAGCCGCAGCAGCATTTTTTTCTCAGACTGACATAATGACGAAGCTTTCGGCATGGCACAATTGAGATGAATCCGTGCTGTCAGAACGTGGCTCGGACGCAATAATCTCATTCCACTTCCGCCGCTCCGCATGTGAAGTTGGTCAAACACCTTGTCAGTGTCTTGTGCCTGACTAACAGCATCCATAAAACAACCACCGACCCTTCAGCGTGTACAAGACAAACTGCGGGAGAGTCGAAATCTGTATTCATCAGCATAAGACCACAAAGTATAGAAACAAATACGAGTTGAGCAGCTCAGTTTGTTCACTGTGAGGCTATAAAATACTGATTTAACATTGCTTATTTTGTTGAATGCTGTTTTTAAAGGGATCCCCGACTTGTAACATTAGACTTTATTTGATAAACATATATTTTAACTGTAAAATAAAGACTGTAAAAATACTGTGGGATGTTTAGTTTTGTAAAATTTTTAAAATATATTTTAACACAGAGCCATTTTATTTACACACAAAGCATTCTGGGTGAATGATGACGAGGATAGGTCCTCGGTGTGAGTGAGCTGTATCCACCCTGAAGGTTAATCTTGGACAATATCTGATGATCGACTCTTTTAAATGAAACCAGAGAGCGTTGACAGAGAGGAGAAGGTAGAAATGACTCAGCCTGTAACTGAAAATATGGATGGAGGACAACAGAGCTGCTTCATGGAAGAAGAACCCCAGCTTAGCCTGTTAGCCTTTGCGCTAGCGCTGACGCTATATTGCCTTATATGTATTAGCTCAGCGCTAGCGCGACAAACAAGCTAAACTGAGGTCCTCCATCCATGTTTTCAGTTGCAGGCTGAGTCATTTTTGTGTTCCCCTCTCTGTCATGTGGATGGAGGACCTCAGTGACGAGAGGAGAATGTGTAGCGCTGAACTAATACATATATATGGTGATAGCGTCAGGGCTAACACTAAAGCTAATAGGCTAAACTGGGGTTGTTCTTCCATGAAGCAGCTCTGTTGTCCTCCATCCATATTTTCAGTTMCAGGCTGAGTCATTTCTACCTTCTCCTCTCTGTCAACGCTCTCTGGTTTCATTTAAAAGAGTCGATCRTCAGATATTGTCCAAGATTAACCTTCAGGGTGGATATAGCTCGCTCACACCGAGGACCTATCCATGTCATCATTCACCCAGAATGCTTTGTGTGTAAATAAAATGGCCCCATCCGTGTAATATATTTTTAAAGTTTTTGTTTAAAAATTATAAAAAATAAACATCCTACAGTATTTTTACACTCTTTATTTTACAGTTAAAATATATGTTTATTAAATAAAGTCTAATGTTACAACTAATCTGGGATCACTTTAAAAGAATGTATATAATAGACAAACAGCATAGTTCTGGTTTTGGATGCAAAAAGGATAAACCTAATATCTAATAAAGCTGAGGAGGTTATGAATCGCTTGTCTTTGTGATGGCAGTGCTGCTGCGGCTAAATAACTTCTGTATGCAGTGTTACCTCAGCTGAGTTTTTTGTGGGAAAGGTTACCATCTGTTTCATTTCCTCCTTCTGTCTGTGATCACACTTAATTTTTTATCCAAAAAAAAAAAACGTCAATGAAAGACGAATTCAGGCGTCTCTGCGTTGGGGTCTGCACAGATTTGTTTTACAATCAATTTTTCTCAAACTTTGAGCCATTTAAACAGTCTCACAATTCAAAAATTGAGCAACGATGACTTTCGTGTAAACTTAATAAAAAATGTTCTTATTGAAAAATGAGTATAGTGTCTACTACCAGGAAGTGTCTGGCTCCCGAAGCTGAAAACCACTGCAGCAAATACGCCTCAGGGGTTCCTCTCAGCATGCGCTCTCAGGCAGAACTTGTCAGTAATGTAAGATGCAGCTTAAATCCGTGAATGAAGTGTAGCTGGGTTATTAAACCAAGAGAGGAGGACAGGGAGGGAAAAAAGTTGTCTTCGCTCTCCTGCAGGGATAAAGAGCGGCAGAAAGAGCGAGGTCGCATCATGGCCGATGACAGTAGTTGCTAGGCAACAAGGAGCCACGTGAAACTGAATTCTTCTAAATTGATATTTGCATCCGAGCAGCACCCGGGCGGAGAACTGCAGAGGGAGATATAGACGCCGGAGATGTTGGTAAAACGGAAAGGAACCGGTCCGAACGAAGCGAGAACAGACAATCCAGCTCAGCCAAGGATCATTTGGCAAAGAGACGGAAAGGATTTACAGGATTACAGCACAGGAGGCTGGGGCTGGGGTCCCTGCAGCAAACTGGCTTTATTGATAAAATAACGCTGGCATTGTTCCAACATCATGATCAAGAGAAAAGTGTGGAGAGTTAGCCAGAGGGAGGTTTTCTTTTCTTACATCTTCTTTTGGACAATATTCACCTGTGAAGGGTAAATTAGTCAGTTTAAAATTAGTAATTTGGCCATTCACACACAAATTATATATATATATATATATATATATATGATAGCAACAGAAAAAAATCATCTAAACAAATACAAGCATTTGTTTGAATACTGTTAGCAGAAAGACACAGAAAACTGTCAGAACAAGCTCCTGAAAGGTTAATTAGGTTCCATTTGCTGTGTTCAAACAAAAAAGAAGCTGTGCATGAAATTAATTACAAAACGAGACAAAATGTGCTTTGATTAAAATCTGAACCAAAAACATGAGAGAGAAAGAGAGAGAGGAAAGGAGAACAAACAAAACAAAACGAAAACCTGCCATTTAAACGCCAAACATTGAGGCACTCTGTATCTCACTACACATTTAATGGGCCATGGTGGACGCTTTCTTTTTTCTTCTGAATTCTGACATTTCTTTCTCAAAATTACTATAATAATAAATAAACTAATAAAACTAAAATAAAATGTCTATGCTGGCTCTAATCCTCTTCTGTATCTGTGGGCATCATGATTGTCAGGGGGTAAATATTTTTTAAAAAACAATCGGAATTTTGCTCCACAACTATTGCTGCTATTCTTGATACATTTGTGCAACAAATGTGCACATTCCTGGTGATGTTTGGGTTAAATACCACTGGGTGTTTGTGAGAAAACATAAGCACAATTTATGTGAAAATTTGCGCAGTAATTTGTCGTCATCTACTCTGAAACATTCTCAGCCAGGTGTAGATAAAGATGAAAATCTTATCAAAGTTATATTACTGTACATCCACTGGTTTATGCATTATTTTGTTAACTGAAACAATGAATCTGTTTCATATGTAATTCCCAAACTGCACACACATGCAACCTGAATATGTATACATGAGTAAAAACAGGTTTTGTAAAATATTCCTTGTTTTAAAATGAACTTTGACTCTTTTGTTGGAGTTTTCTTAACTTCTTAGTCAGTCTGCAGGGACTCTGGTTTACTTCAAAAAGAAAATTTTTCCTAGTTTTTATGAGGTTTCACTGTTTTGATGTCTGTGGGGTTTTTTTTTTCTCTTTTTCTGAAGATCTCGACAAAAAAAATAAGAGCATTCATCTGGTGATGAAGCCAGGATTCAAACGGAGCATGATCCCTTTCACAGTGACAGCTCGGGGTTATAATTTACACCTGAACCAGGAGACAAGTTTCGATTTAAAACAGGTCCAGCCCTGATTCTACAGCATCTGAGCTCTGATGGTACTGTTTGGGTTGGAGGACAGATTATTCTATGAACGACCCACTTTGGAGTCATTTCAGAGCTGCAAGAAGCTACAAAGCACTATTGGAGACAGTATATAGGTCACTTGTCAAACCATGTAAATATGGAGGAGCACAGCTTACATTTTTTCCTTGTTTTAATGTCTTAGTTGCAGGAATTTTTTTCTAGAAGAATCAAATAAAACCACATTCTTCATCAACACCATCCGATATTTTTCAAATAAAATAGGTTTGGAGTCAAGGTTCTTCAGGACGTGATTTGTTTTTGAGGCAAAGGATTGGTGTTTGATTTACAAGCAAGAGAGAGAGAGAGAGAGAGAGAGAGAGAGAGAGAGAGAGAGAG